ACATGAGTTGCCCCCTGCTGGCTGCTAAAAGAATGCGACTTCAACCATTTGTAAAGGTGACAAAAGAAATCTGACAGATTGCGAGATGTATGGCGCTGTATTAATAAAATTGAATTTAACTCGAGGAATGAAAGGTGAATGAAACTTCGTGTGTTTTTTTAAAAATATTTTTCAATAGTTGTTATGGGCCCTGTTAAAAACTCAGACATCTTTGTGACATCCATACTTATTTTTGTGACCTGGTAACAAAGTCCTAAGTAAAATTACTTACTTACATTACTGTCTTTATCCTTATTTCCTGTTACATGTGTGTTGTTACATCGCAGAGACTTACATTAAACATGGCCAGAGTTTCAAATAATGAGGTCAGCGTATATTCATGTAATCTCTATGACTGCTCTGCAGGACACTCCATATCAGACACCTGAACCTCCATTACTGACAAACAGCTCCCGTGGGCCTTTCTCACCCTGTGTGGAAGGCTCGGGTCTAAAGGTTTCAGGTCCTCTAATCAAGCTGGTCTATTTTTCTAGCAGAAGCTGAGATAGGAGGAGAGCTCAGTGGTGAAAAAGTTTTCTGTCTGTGTGGAAAGCTCACTGTGGACCTGGAAGGAAGTAATGACTTCTTATAGAGAAGGCTCATGACAGTGAGGTCAGTGTACTCAAATGAGCTCCACGTCACCCCTCAATCCAAAGGAGGACCTTTGGGATGTGCTGGAACAGGAGAGACGCATCATGGATGTACAGCACACAATTCGCTCACCAAATTCTGAAATGTTTTCAGCATCTTTTTGAATCTGTGCCATGAAGAACTGAGACAGCTCTGATGGTAAAATGGGGAAAACCTGATAAAGGCACGTTGTACCAGAGAAAGTGTCAAGTGAGTGTGATTTTGGGACATATGGAACCACCCAGCTTCTGATTGGAGCAGGTGCCCATGACTACTGTGAAGTCATTTGACTCTGCTAAATGTTTGTTATGTTGTTTCCTAGTGAAGCCCATATGGATTGTAAGGGTTAATAGAGGCGTGTTAGAAAAAAGAAATACACGTGGAAGAAAAAAACTGGAATTATTCTTTCACTCCTTTCTTTTCGTGTCACGTGTCATTTTTAGTTTTCCATTGTAATCTCTTGATTAACTTTTGTTTCCTGTTTATTTTCTGTTTAGTATTTTGCCTTCGGGTTTATTCGTTGTAGTTCTTTGTGTTCTCAAAGCCTTTTCCAGTGTTTCCCAGAGTCTATTTTCTGTGTCCTGGCTTCAGTATTTACTTACTTCCTGTTTTAATGTGTTAGCTTGTTTCTTTTGTGTCTTGTGTCAAGTTTTACTTCCTCTGTGTTGTTTTTCTTCTTTCCCATTTGCTCTCCTTAGTTTCCCTCCCATTTCCTATTGTTACATAATCCTGTTTTTACAGCCATCTCCCTTTAATCTTTGAGGTGGCATTTCTTTAACTCCTCAGTGATCTGCCTTTGTGTGCTTCTTGTCTGTTTCTTGGACTTATTTTGCTTTTTTTTGCACTGTCTGGACTTGTTGCATCTTTTGGACTTTGGACTGTCCTCATAAAAGGTGCGTTTTCTCCTTGTACAGTATGCATTTGGGTCATCTCATTTCAGATTAATATATTTTAAATGTAACTACTTAGTTGAGTCGAATACTTTTATATCTCTTGATGTTATCTGTCTCTGTATGCAGTGTGGAGTAGCTGCAGAGATGTCGCTTGGTTGGTGATTTCTAATCTTTGTGTTTAAGTGACAGGAAAAACTCACCGTGACAAACATATAACGGCCCTTTAAGTGAGCGTGAGACTGCATTAAACATTCAGATCACTTCTTACAGCAACAGCAGAAGGACATCATCACATCCAGAGAGGAGTAAACATGAAGGCCACAGTGGGACTGCTGCTTCTGCTGCTCACGGTTTATTACTGCGCTGCTGCACGTAAGTCTGTCAGTCTGCTTTACAGTCTGAAGATAAATGTAATCTGAGGCCCTTTAATGTTTTTATTTGATTGGTCAAAACTTTTACAAGTTACACTGAGAAAATGAGTGAACATGATACCTCAGATTAATTAACTGGGACCACATCTGCAAAAAGGTTTGACAGCATTTCTAGTAGATAATGGCAGATGGTTTGAGCATGAATTGAGGCTGGGGTTTGAGGAAGGCCTCAGAGGGGACTGGTGGCGGCTCCTGGGCCAGTCAGATAGTAGTGCAGGGGGGTGTATGGAGAAACGCTCCTGCTCCTGAAATTTAGACGAATTATTTCCAATTATACCTGTTTTTATCTGGTTTTAAATAAACTTATTGTTGTTAATCAGTTCTATATGCTGCATTTTAATCTGGGATTTATTATGATTTTTTTATTTTGTGCAACTGCATTTTAGAAATGTCAATTTCAAGATTCTGAATCACCTTTTTCTCTTAGTTTACAAAACATGTTGAAAATAATATCATCCTCACAGCTGCGTTACCAGCTGGTTAAATGAGCCCCAAATGGATATTTGCATCACTAAAGAACAGCGTCAACTAAGAGGAATTCTGCAGTATTAGCTAGTTATCTTGCCATGAGTCATTTAGGACCATTATAATGATCATGACTAAGGTTGTGTTTATTCTAATCAATACAGATTACTGTCACATGAGTTCTGGTTGAAGGGTTTAATGGGAGCTGATAGTTCATGTTCAGTGAGTGTTAGTAGAGTCAGAAGGGAACAAAAGTTCTGCTGGCTTTAAGAAATCCCTAAATAACTGTGGTGTTTAAAAATCTTTTTTATTGTCTTTCAGTTCAATGTTCAGATTATACTTGGTTGTTAACTTTAACTTATTATTGTTAATGCATTTTACATTTTACAAAACTTGAAAGCAACTCCACTCTGTTTAAAATGTAATCTTGGGCTGATGAGTTATTTTAAAACATCATCAGTGTATATCATAAAGGACCTGAGCGCTCTGACAGTGTTAATGTCACTGCCTTTCTATTTAAAGACTGTCAGTTTCAGCAACAATGCTCAACACCTTTGACACATGCTGCTATGAAACTGAATTTTTTACTGTCTTTTTATTATTTTTTTCCCTTTTAGCTCAACAATTGCTTGAAATGTCTCATGGACAATGCTGTTTCAAATTCTTTACTAGAAGGATACCACAGAAGAAAATAGTCTCTGTCATCAAGACTCACAGCGCCTGTCTGGAAAAAGCATTTGTGTATGTCACCACAATGAGTAATTTCAGTAATCGTAATTTCTGAACACAAAACAGAATGCATGAAAACACGAGGCACAGCGTGGTATCTTCTATCCTAACTCTCTTGTAATCTTCCTGCAGGATCGGTACAGCCACCGGGAGGCGCATCTGTGTGAGCCAGAGCGTCACCTGGGCTCAAGAAGCTTTTGCATCAATGGCCAATCTGCAGAACGATGATGAATAAAGCTCTTCAGAGTTCATGATCAAGCATAATAAAGCTTTGTGTTATGTTAACCCATGCTAGCAATTTTATAAGACAGCTGCAGCCTGGGTTTTGTACCGGGCATACCCAGTTTCCTGTTTTATATTCTCCTTTTTATATTTTTGGAGTTTTCAGTTTGGATGTTACCTTTGCCTAGGTTATGTTTTTATTCTGATATTAGGTGTTAAGTTTTTCATGCCCTCCTATGTTCCCCATGCCTAGTTCTGTTTTGCTGTAGTACTTCCTTGATTTAGTTAATCTCTGTCTTCATTTGTACTATGGATTTGCAGCTGCCAACTAAATAAAGGTCAGTCTTTGGTTATTCAAGGTTGCCTCCAAGTCTGCATCTTTGGGTCCATTTCCTGCCTCACCATTAAAGAACGACACGGCTGCAGAATGGAACCAGCAGACCACGCCATGCTTTTGGATGGGAGCTTACTGGAGAGTTTTCATGGCTTCTCAGGATTTAGGCCCAGATATCTGATTCAAACGATATCAAGGTACTAACAATTGCACTTTCAGATATGAAAAGCATAACCAACTAGCATCCTCAGCTGCTTCCATTCCCAACTATTTTGAACATGCACTCCACAAACACCCACAACGGAGAACAAAAATGAAAAACATTCACAACTCACTCCTCCATATTCCCCGGTTCCTAGTTGCAGCAACGGCAGCAAACCCGCACCAAAGCCCTGTCGCATCAGCTGCAGTTAGGGAAGCGAGCGGGAAGCTGGCTATCACAAAAAAAGGGAGCAATGTTTTGCAACAATAAGGTTGTGAAGGTCTTGAGACAGCTCATTGGTTTTACACATAGTGAAATGTTTCTTGCGTGACACCTTGGTAAAATACCTTTTTATAGGCCATTAGTTGGGACGGGACCAGTGGATATTTAAAGTGACACTAGTTGTGTTGTTTTCATGCTGTTAAGCCCATCTTGTAAGGGCAACAGCTGACCCCTGGTGGCCACTTTGACTTGGACTGAATTACACTGATTTTGGGGGATTTTAGGGAAACGTGAAAACACAAGCGGAGAAGAAAGAGGTGTGTTTCAACAAAGTAACTTTTTATCTTCTTTTTTTTTAATCTTGTTTCCAGAATGATTAAAAGTAAGAATTGAAATAAAATTGGTTTCAGAAGAATAATTAGGAAAAAGAGAGCTCTGAATTCAATCTTCCATATCTGATTGCTGTGAGATGTGAGGCTGAGACCAGTGAGGAGTGAAGCTTTCCCAGGATCAGACTCTGGGATGCTTTAGACACATTTAAGCAATAACAGCTTGACCAAAGTGAAAACCGACTGGACTCTGACCAAAAGCTTTTTGTCCAATGAGACGGAGGTGCTGGATTACCTCTGCACCACTGCTGTTTTGCTCTGATGTTCAAAGAGTATGTTTCATTTGTGCAAGAAAAACACATGTAATACATCACCTGATATTTATTCAGTAGTTTGTGCATCAGAACTTATCTGCAAGCATGTTCTCCTTGTCTGTGATGGTGGGTCTGGCCCACCTCTGGACCTGTACTCTCACTAATCCATCTGAAAACACTGAGATCATTTTAAAACATCTGTTGCTCATGTAGCTTGCCTTTTGTAGCACTTGGTTGAATATAAGGTCTTAATTCATCTTCACATATTCTCCATGTTTCATAGCAGAACACACAAACTCTGCTGGCAGACAGACTTAAATAATAAAGATCTTTATTTAGCACCATTTAAGAACTTGGTAAATACTGCATCAACACTCAACAGAAAGTGAACGTCTACTATGTCACAATAAATAAACTTTAACAACAGATTATTTGTTATGATGTTATGAACTACGACATGCTGTCATAGCAACATGGCATCAAAAAACTGCCACTGCCGGACAAACTTACAGAGCAATTAAAAAAAACATGACAGAATACTAAAAACTTTAGAACAACAGGTCAAAAGACAGTAATCAGTAATTTCTATCCCAGAAGTTTATTTTTCTTTTAATGCAAGCATGTTTCTTCTGTTCATGTTCCTAACATATAGTATTTGGATAAACGTACAGCTACACGTTACACGTACAGGAGCTGCTCAGCCATGAAGCTCCCAGCACACAGTGTTTGTGCTGATGTTGCAGGACCATGTTCATACTTGTAAAGGCAGACTGCACATCTGGGCGTATGATGTTTTAACCTTATGATAATGGGACTGAAAACACCTGAACTGAGGCGTGTGGCCCAATACTGTTGTCCATATAATGTAGATCAGAACTTTACAGCATATATAATAAAATACCTGAGCTCACTGAGTGTTAATGTCACTGTCCTTCTACTTAAAGACCCTCAGGCACAGGCTGAGTTTCAGCAGGAATGCTCGACACTTGACACACGCTGCTTCTCAGCTGAAGCTCATAAAATTGAACAGTTTTCCAGACGTTAGATGGTGTCTGCTAGGAAAGTTTAAGCGTGCTCCAATTGTGAAGTTCTAGGTCCATATTAATGTGTTAAATAATTGTTTTTAAAGTCTTCTTTGTTTGTTCGTGTGGCAGTAACGATTTCATTTAATTGTTCCAGGGAAGCAAAAAAATCTTATATAAAAGTTTTTAAAGGCTTTCACATGAAATTCTGAACATTTAGTCAGCACGAAATTGATATGACTGAACAGATAAATATTGGCCACTAACGTCAACACAAACGTCACATCTTATTTGTTGACGTCAGCCAACAGGGCTAATGGCAGCCCATATTAAAACCTTGTGACCTCAGCGACTCTTCCTCCTTTTAGTGTCTCTGCCCTGAGAGAGTTTCATCAGCGGTGACTCAGGCCTGGGTGACCGTCCCTCTCCTTTGGGTTTGAAAAAGAAGGATTCGTTGAGTTTCATCTGGACCGCTCTGACCTGAGGACCAAAAAAAGTCATACTGTTACTGAACAGTGGAAGAAACTTCAGTTACTCCTTTTCTCCTGATAAACATTTCTTACTGCTCAGCAAAAACAGAAATTCTTAAGTGTTTATAATGTCAAAATACACGAACCAACTGAAATGCACAGCCCTGGATAATTTTCTTTCTTGCCCCCAATAAGATGCCTAAATTTGATACTCTCAGCCTCCTAGTAGTGTGTCTACTAGGAGGCTGAGGGGTAGCACTGCTGGTCACCAGTATTTTTAAGGGTGATAAGAGAAATCTCACAGATTGAGAGATGTTTAAAAAAGTGAATGAATCTTCATGCATTGTCCGGGATTGTAACATCTAGTCCTTACTGAATTAATACTTTTTATCGGCCCTGCCAACAACTCGGACATCTACGTGACACTAATTTTTGCAACTTGTCAAAAGAGTCCTAAACAAAAGCATTAAAGGTGACCATATTATCTTTATCCTTATTTTGTGTTACATATGTACTTTTACAAGGTGTTACTCATAATCAACATGGCCTCAAATATTGAAGTCAGCGTACATGCACGTAATCCTTATTAGTGCTCTGGACATACGATACCAACAATGGTTTTCTAGTCTTGGTTATTGGAACTAGTCAAAGAACGTCTGTCACTGATTGAAAGATAATAATAATAATATATACATTATTGATCCCTGTGGGGAAATTCCTCTCTGCATTTAACCAATTCACTCAGCCATTGGGCGCCTGGGGAGCAGCGTGTAGGGACGGTACCTTGCTCAGGTACCTTCCGATCATGGGGCCACCACGCTACCTACTGAGCAACCCCTGCTCCTAAAACTTTGAACAACACAATGGTCGCTACTAGGGCTGGGTATCGTCACTGATTTCTAGAATAGATTCGATTCTGATCCACAAGGTCCCGAATCGATTCGATTCAATCCGATTCGATTTTAATCGGGGAAATTTTGCCTCAGTCAGAAATACTATAATTCTGATCACGCATCAGTACATTTCCATATTTTTATATCTATAAAAAGAAAGCTGACACTTGCGAGACTTTATCAAAGGTGTAAGCATCACAGCAGATGCCTTTGTGTCAAAGTAACACAGAAAAACATGAAGGAGATTTTCCTGGCCTGGGATTTTATAGCAGATGACCTTAAAAATATTCTGCAGTAGATCAAAACGAAAGAAGACCATTAATCAACACATGCACCTTACCTGATGCTGCTGAAGTGAAGCAGAGCAAAGTTACAGAATTGCAACACAGCTAAGTGTTTTGCAATTTTGCATAATTTTAAAAAGTTTAAATTTGTTCATAATTGAACAGCAGAAATGAGGCTCTCTTTTCAGAAGCGAGTAAAAGGGGGGAAAAAACAGCGGCCGACAGCGCTGTAAACAACTGTAGACTTGTGTGTAATAAGCAAGCGAGAGAGAGAGAGCGAGAGAGAGAGCGAGCGAGAGAGCGAGCGAGCTCTGCATGAAGTGTGATTTTATTGTGGTGGAAGCAAAACAGCAAAACTGGGAGGGAATTCATGACGATGTTTAGTGTGACGTGTAGTTCGGATCTTCTTTTGCTGCTGGTTCAGTCAATATTGTTTGGAGAGAGATAAAAACCTACAGCTTCTGAATCTAGCGCAAAAAGGGCGTAAACACAAAGCGCGGACTCGCCGAAACATCAGATTCAGCGAGCTGTCGGCTTCCAGCCCCGACCGTGTCCGTGCCGTCGGGTGAGAAAGCCACATCTCCGCGCTTTGTGTTTACATCTTTGTGCAGAATCCGTGTACCTGCTCTTATTTACTGCTTTAGCTGTTTGGTGGTTGCTGAAATTTTGTGAGGTTTAACCTGAGATTCTGGCGTTTTGTGCAAAATAAATTTATATTTAAAAATCGATTCAGAATTTTAATGAATCGATATCACGTTATCCAAGCTAGAATCGATTTTAATCGATAAATCGATAATCAAAACCCACCTGTAGTCGCTACTAGCGTGAGAGTGTCCTTAGAGCTGGTTAACTGACCCTGCCGTCACTCTGCTGGTGAGTGTGTGTTTATATTGAATACTTTTAGTAAGAAATAGGATACAGGATAGGCTTTGAGTGGCATAGAATGGGAAAATAAATAGCAATAATTTGTAACTGTTAAATCAGTTTTTCATATTTTATCATGGTTCTTACACCTACATCTTCCACAAACTAATCTTTACAGTCATACTTTTATTTATTTTTTTAAATCTCCCAGTAATCTCCTAAAAGAGCTGTACATTACATTTTTTTCCCACAAACAGGATAAAACAGCACAATTCCCATCAGTGGGACACCTTACGTCAGTATTTTCAGTATTTTTGTGAAAAAAAAAGCGAGAACTGCAATTTCAAGAGGCTTGAAGCTGAAAAACACAAAAGATATCTGGTGTTAGCTCTGAATTTTGTAATATAAAGTTCAATATGTAAGA